GCGGCATTCAGCGGCGAGCACGAGCACCGGCCTTGAGCAAAAAAGGAGGAAGTCTCGAGCGGGAGCGTTGGTGTTGTTGGGGGGCCGGTTTTGGCGCCCCCCCAAACCGCTCGAGCGTGAGCCTCATTTTGAATGACAACGTAGCTGGCGCCGAGGCGAGAGCGCCAGGGCGCCTGGGGTGTCCAACAATAATACCTGTTTAGTAACTAAGATCCAACAATAAGAGCAAAACCAACACATGCATGGTATTCGGCCTGTTTGCGGCGTTTCTCGAGCTGCGTCGATCCATGAGGGCTCCCCAAGCCCCGACACCAGGCGAAAGCGCCCGCCTTCATAGCTCGAACCACATAACTCACACAGTACTGCTACCATCTCATAGATTGCACAACATGGCCTGGGTCAAACAGCTTACCTCACACTGCTGTCACAACAGAGCTTTCATCGCATAGCTTGCACATCATAGCTTCCCCACTTCGCTTCCACCATAACGATTTGCACCACATAGCATCCACCATATAGGCTGCATCTCCGCATTGCGCAAACTGTTTGGGGTCCACGCGAGCTTTGTGAATATTCGTGCAAAGAATGTCGCGCGACTCTGTTCGATTGAGCACGTCGATGCTGGCGTCGGAGAGACGCATGGAGTATAGGAATTGAAGGACTGGTCACCACATTCCCTAAACAGTGATTGCACTTCGGGGCTCTTACTTGTTACGCAGGAATTGGGCCTGTCTGCCGGTCTGACGGCTATGTCGCCGCTGTCGCCGCCCAGTCGCTGCCTCGTCGCCACCCGTCGTCTGGGTCTGTCTGTAGGTCTGTCGGCTATGTTGCCGCCGTCGCCGACGCCGCCGACGCCACGTCGCCGCTCGTAACCGGACCTGTCTGTTGCTCTGGCGGTTATGTCGCCGCTGTCGCCGCTTCGTCGACGCCCGTCGTCAGGGGTTGTTTGTCGGTCTGGCGGCTATGTTGCCGACGTCGCCGTTCCGTCGTCGCCCGGGCCTGTCTGTTGGTCTGGCGGCTATGTTGCCGCCTCGTCGCCGCCCGTGACCGGGCCTGTCTGCCGGTCTGGCGGATTTGTTGCCGCCGTCGCTTCTTCGTCGCCACCCGTACGTGGGTTTTTCTGTCGGTCTGGCGGCCATGTTGCCGCCGTCGCCGCCCGTGACCGGGCCTGTTAGTCGGCCTGGCGGCTATGTTGTTGCCGTCCTCGTTCCGACATAGATTGCACAACATAGTTTGCACCACATACCTTGCACCGCATAGATTCCTGGTTTCAAAAGATGTGTTCGTATCTATCTCCCCTTTGGACTTAACGCCTGGTGTTTTCGCATTGTTAGCCGTTAGTCATTCTGCACATTCGCCAATCCTAGATATGAATTCGTACCATTCAAGGCAGTTCCTTGTCTACACCCCCCTCATCCTCTGCCAAAAATTATGCGCGCGTACTCGTTGAACAAAGCTCACAAGTTTTTAATAATACCATGCAAAACTGGCCGAAGTGCACACTCGCGCGTCGACACGCGCGCATGCCGAAATCTGTCAAAAACCGTAAGTGTCGTAAGGATGTCAAAATCGAGTGTCCCAAGCACATATAAGAATCCATTGGCTTCGCAACAGGAGTTTTCAAAAGGCATGGGCCATTGCGAATTGTTTAGAAAACCATTGGATGTTCAACATGTTCATCGCGTGCTACCAAGCGTGTCTCTCGCGATCGCATGTCGAAATCGTTCGAACGCCTTTTTCCCCAAGTATCCTGTGGTGTTGGGTCCTCGTTTTGAAGAGACGGTCCCCGCGTTCCTCTCCTCTCCTCCTCCCCCTCCTTCCTCCTTCCCCTCCTCGCCTATGCCCTCCGCATGTTTTTGTTGCTGTACGCCCCTCACATGTTTCGTGGCCCCACAGGGAGCCCCACCGACGGCCCGAACTTCAGTGTTCGAAAGCGCCCACCGCACCTATTTTGGCACACTCCTCCTACGCTTCGGGTCCCCAGCGTTCGCATGCACCCACCGCATCCATTGTGGCACACCCCTGACGCGTTTCGGGGCCCCATAGGGAGCCCCACCGAAGGTCCACGTGCCAGCGTTCGCGTGCGCCCCCCGCACCCATTTTGGGACACCCGTCACACGTTTCGTGGCCCCACAGGAAGCCCTACCGAAGGCCCAAATGGCGGCGTTCGCATGCGCCCCCCGCACCCATTTTGGCACGCCCCTCACGTTACGCGGCACCATAGGGAGCCCCACCGAAGGCCCAAATGCCAGCGTTCGCCGAAGGCCCACATGCCAGCGTTCGCATGCACCCGTCGCACCCATTGTGGCACACCTTTACACGGTTGGTAGCCCCATAGAGAGCTCCACCGAATGCGGTGCATACAACAACGGTGCTCACAATTGCAGATGGTTGGGTTCTTCGCCAGGCTAATTGGTCCTCCGTGCGGTCGCAAGAAATATTTGCAACAAATGGGACGAAGAGCACACGCGCGCGTCGCTCGCACGATCTCTTTCAAATAATACCATGCGAGCCACTCGTGCGCGTCGGCCGCGTGCGCATGTCGAACTCTTCCCAAAATGTTCATCACCGACGCGAGGACGCGGTCATCGTCGCCGGCGTGATCAGCATCGGCGCCGTCATTGGCTCTGCCGTCCTCGTTGTCATCATCGTCACCAGCATCGCTAGTGTAATCATCGTGCCTGCTGTTGGCGACGTCGCCATGATATCGCGCCCGCCCGGGTCACCGATTCGCACTGAAGTGCCCATTGGGAAGCGCCCAGCGGTCAGCGCCACCGCGGCCGCGGCGGTCGCGCCAATTTAGTTGGCCGCTGCGCGAGCGAGCACGCACTGGCTAGCGCCACCATAGAGATGCATCAGCCAACACCCAGCACTCATCACAGTCGCCGCTGCATGAGTTTTGGAAACCTGCTTGCGGACGGGCGGGCAGGATAATTGCGCGACCAGCGAAGCTGACAATTCCAAGTCTTTCCTAATTGGTTTTCTGTTCTGACTCTACCCCCCTCAGCGTTATCCGCCCCCTTTCGGGTATGTAAATCATATATGATTCTGACCACATGTCCATCCTAAATATGAATTTACATTATCCCAGGGGGGGCGGTATCGCTCCCCCTGCGGCTCCTTCTGTTGAAAAACTATACGCGGGGACATCTGTTGTTCTAGCATAAGACTGTTTCACGAATCCTTTGCAAAAAATGTGACGAAGTGCACACGCGCGCGTCGTCGCGCGCGCATGCCGAAATCCTTCACAATCGAGTTTCCCCCCCCCCCAAAAAAAACTACAAAAACACAGGGTTTCGCAACACAGATGTTTTAAAAAAGCTTACGCGCGAGCTCTTGCGAAATCTTAAGAAAAGCATAGGTTTTTCAAGATTCTCACAAAATGCTACCAAACGGGCTTCGCGCGCGCGCATGTCGAAATCTGTCGAGCGCCCTTGCGCGTGTGCCGTCGCGAGAATCCTTTGCAAAAATTGGACGAAGTGCAGACGCGCGCGTCGTCGCGCGCGTATGCCGAAATCCTTCAAAACCCATCGTCTTCGGAAGGATTTCAACATCGTGTGTCCAGAAAACCTACAAAAACACAAGGTTTCGCAACACGGATCTTCAACAAAAGCGTGCGCGCGCGCTTTTGCGTCGACGTCGTCGTCGTCGTCGCCGTCCTCCCTCCTCCCGCGTCGTCGTCGTCGTCGCCTACGTCGCCCTCTGTCTTTCCTCGTGTTCGTCGTCGTCGTCCTCTTTGGCGTCGTGGTCGTTTCCGTCGTCGTTGTCGCCGTGGTCATCCTTCCTCCTCCTCCCTCGTCGTCGTCGTCGTCCGTCGTCGGCGTCTTGTCGTCGTCCCTCCTATTTCGTCACCGTCGTCGTCGTCGTTGTCGTCGTCGTCGTCTTCCCTCCTCCCTCGTCGTTGTCGTCGTCGGCGTCGCCGTCCTTCCTCCTTCTTCGTCGTTCGCGTCGTCGCCATCCTCCCTCCTCCCTCGTTGTCGCCGTCGTCGACGTCGACGTCGGCGTCGGCGTCGTCGTCGCCGTTGTCATTGTCGTCGTCGGCGTCGGCGTCGGCGTCGTTGACGTCGTCGTCGGCGTCGGCGTTGTCGTCGTCGTCGTCGTCGTCGGTGTCGTCGTCGTCGTCGTTGTCGGCGTCGTCGAAGTCGTTGGAGACGTCGTCGGTGTCGTCGTAGTCGTCGGCGGCGTCGTCGTCGTTGTCGCTATCGTCGTCGGCGTCGGTGTCGTTGCCAAGTGCCATTTGGTACCCACCGTCACGGTCTTAAGAGATTTTGCAAACCAAGTTGCGGGTGGGTGGGTGGGATGTTTGCGCGAGCAGTGGGGTGGACAACTCATTGCGAGCAGAAATTATTTGCACCGCATAGATTGCACCACATGCATTCTCATTTATGAGATGGAATTAGAATCTACCACCCCCCTGGATTATCGATGCACCTTGGGGAAGTGCAAATTACCCCATCGTCCATTCGTCCATCGAAAATCGTCCTAGGTGCAGTTTACACCCCGTCGTCCTCTATGATCCTGCCCCATCGTCTATTCGAGATGCGACTTCAAATTATCCTTGCCAGGCCGCGTTCGACACCCCACCCTCGCCAAAAAATACGACGCGCGCGCACTCGATTACAAACAATCAACCGTGCGCAATGGCCCCTCCTGCGCACAAACTTGGGACGAAGCGCATGCGCGCAGGCGACGACGACGACGGCGGCGGCGGCGGCAGCAGCGGCGACGGCGGCGGCGACGGCGACCTCGACGGCGATGGCGACAGCGACGGCGACGGCGACGGCGGCGGCGACGACGCCCAGTGTTTTCCGGAGGCCTCCGATGGTTTCTGGAGGCCCCCCAGAGGCCCCCGAGCCCTTCGGAGGCTCCCAGAGGCCCCCTGGAGGCACCCGGAAGCCCGAGACGGCCCCAAAGCCATGCAGAGGCATCGATCCGTTGGCCTCGATCTTCGGTCCGCGCCCGCCTGTGCCCGCGCTGCGGCGCGGTGCGCGGGCGCGCAGATCCAGTGGCCGCCGCTGGGCGAGCTGCCATCGCTCGGCAACGGCGCGCAGACCGCGCTGGACGAGTCGCTGACGGGGGCCGCCAGTTTCCTGCAGGCCCTGCTCCTGCTCCTCCTCTTCCTCCTCCTCCTCCCCCTCCTACTCCTCCTCTTCCTGGTCCTTCTCCACTTCCTCCTCCTCCTCCTCCTCCTCCTCCTCCTGCTCCTCCTGCTCCGCCTCCTCACCATCATCATCAGCAGTAGCATCAGCATCCTCATCCTCACTATCATCATCATCATCATCATCATCATCATCATCATCATCATCATCATCAACATCAACATCAACATCAACATCAACATCATCATCATCATCATCATCATCATCATCATCATCATCATCAGCATCATCATCATCATCATCATCATCATCATCGTCATCCTCATCCTCATCCTCATCCTCATCCTCATCATCCTCATCATCCTCATCATCCTCATCCTGATAATCCTCATCCTCATCCTGATAATCCTCATCAGCCTCATCATACGCATCATCAATCATCCTCCTCCTCCTCCAGCTCCTCGAGGTGGCTAGCGCCGCGGCCACTTTCTCGTGTCCCGGTCCAGCTCGGCCGCCAGCCCCGGTTCTCTGGCGCGATTGCTTGGGTGCCTGAGCCAGCCCTGCCCAGTACGGCGGGCTGTCCGACGAAGGCATCTATACACCACCACCGTGCCAGGCCAGGGCAATCCTGGGCCGTAGGATGGTGTATAGACCCTCCTGGGAGGCATCAGGCATCAGACACGGCCACGTTCACCCGCTTGGCTCCGTAAGTTGCGGCGTCGAAGATTGGGCCCGCTCCCGTGTTTCTGGCTGTGGAAAGTGCTGTACAGCTGATGCAACTACACGGCTCGAGGCTCACCATGAAAGCAAAGGGTCGTTGCAGGCGCAATGTTGAAGGCAAAGGACGTGAGCCCGGGTGGGCTTGCGTGGCTATTCGGCAATGCGGTTTCACTTGTAAGTGCTCACGCTTCTCGTATCCCCAACCAGCCAAATCTACCTAGCCGAGGAGAGTTGCCGGGAAAAGGGGCAGAGACACATGCAGCGAAGCAAACGGGCAACCAGGTTGACCGGCGAGATTTTGGGGAGCAGAGGCGTGGCCTTGGCCTTGGAGGTGACCGCGCGGGGGCGAGAGAGGAGGAGGAGGAGGAGGAGGAGGAGGAGGAGGAGGGTAAGGAGGAGGAGGAGGAGGAGGAGGAGGAGGAGAGGAGAGGAGGAAGAAGAAGAAGAAGAAGAGGACGAAGAGGAGGAGGAGGAGGAGGAGGAGAGGAAGAAGAAGAAGAAGAAGAGGACGACGACCACCACCACCACCACCACGACAACGAGGAAGCGGAGGAACAGGAAAAGGGAAAGGGAGACGATGATGACAAGGACGACGAGGAGGAGGAGGAGGAGGAGGAGGACAGACGCCACGATCATCCGATCTAGGTCCGCGCAACGTCGAAGAGGAGGAGGAGGAGAAGGAGGAGGGCGAGAACAGAGCCCTCAAACTCGCCTCTTGGAGCCATCTTGGGACTAATCTCGGGATCTTGGGGTCCTCTTGCAGCTCTCTTGGGGGGTCTTGGGGCTGCCTTGGGGCCCTCCTGGAGTCCTCTTGGTTGTCCTTTGGGAGCCCTGGAGGTCCTCTTGGGCTCCATCGTGAAGACCATCGATCAAAAGGGGGTGGTCCTCGAGTTGCCTTCCCCCCCATGGTGCCACCGAAATCGCCTCTTGGGCCCATGTTGGGCCGCTCTTGGGCCCTCTTGGGGCCACCGTGTTTTTCTCTTGGGCCCCTCCTGGGCCTCTGTTGGGTCATCTTGGGGCCATCTCGAAGCCTCAAGAGCGCATCGGAAGTGAAAAGGTGAGAAGCCAAACATCGTTGATTGTTAATATGTTCGCAGGGTTTGGGCACCTTGGGGGGGTCCTGAGGGGGCTCGGAGAGCACCTGCAACCGTCCTGCGGCCCCTGTCAGGCCCCTTCGAGGTATGTCGGAAGCTATACTGAATCATCTTCGCCTACCTTGAGCCGCTTTGGGGGCCATCTTGGAGCGTCGGAGGCCCTCGTGGAGACGTCTTGGGCGAAACAGGACACCCGGCCACTTCGCGGCCCCCGCCAAAAGACCTCAGGGAGGGGAGGGGCAGGGGGCCCCTGCCCGAAGGGAAGAGGGTCTTGGACGGGGAAGGAAGGACCTCTGTAGACCACCTTAGCCCAAAGGGCTGGTGGGATTCCAATGGCAATCTCAGGTGTTACATGCGTGGAGGAGACATGTCAGGCCAGCCAGACCCCACCGGGCAACCCACGCCACGGAGCGTTCGTACCAAGGCTGGTACAGGTCCAGACGGGCTCTCTACAGCTACTGACAGCACGGGGTTTGTTGACGAGGCGGCCATGGCCAGGAAGGGGGCGGCAGCCCTACGGAGCCTCGGCAGGGATGAAGTGGGGCATTTCTGTGTCGCTGCGACGAAGAAACATGCAGATGCCGAAGCATTGGAGCCATCGGACAGGACGCCCGATGATCCTTTGCGCAGGTCCTCGGACCGTGAGGTGTCTGCACTGCGTACTGCGTAAGCAATTCGAATATGTACAATCGCAGCCTGGCTGTAAGCAGTACGACGACGACGACGATCAAGCCATACTGGGATGCGATTGAAGTTGGATCGACCCCTAGTAGGATTACATTAAAGCTGGATCGGGTCCTGATAACTTTCTTTTAGAGCTGGATCCAGCCCTAGTAGGATTTTATCAAGGATGGATCGAGCCCCAGTAGGATTTTATTAGGACTTGGGTCTAACTCTTATAAAAATGATCCTGGCCCATGGCGCCCCTGGCTGTTCGCAATGTTCGAGAGTCCTTAGGGCCTCCCAGGCCTCGTGAGGGGTGCTCTGGAAAAGCTCGGGCCGCCTCGGGCCAAGGCCACCGCTTTGCAATACCGGACGGAACCGGAGGCTGGTCAGCACTCACGTGCAGAGCGCGCTGGATAGACTCGCGGAGGGCAGGCGTGCCCGTCCACGCGAGGGTCCAGAGATGGAATTGATGGGCCTGTTTTCCACCACCACCACCACCACCATAAGTTGGAGGGAGAGGGGGTTTTCTTCCTCCTCCTCCTCCTCCTCCTCCTCCTCCTCCTCCTCCTCCTCCTCCTCCTCCTCCTCTTCGTCCTCCTCCTCCTCATCCTTCTCCTCCCCCCCTCCAACTTATGGTGGTGGTGGTGGAAAACAGGCCCATCAGGAACGACATCCCGCAACACCGGACGCCCTTCTGGGGCCGCAAGGGCGCCCGCGGTTCAGCCGGTGCGGCCGCGCCGCGCCCGGCTGCCCTCGGTCGGTTCGCTCCCCGGTCGGCTGCTGCAGTGGCGCCGCGCCTCTGCCTCCGCCTCGGCCACTCCCTGCAGCGTCGGCCTCTCTTGGGGCAACGAGCTCCGCGCAGGAGCAGCCGCTGCCCCAGGCCCGGCGCATCCTGGGCCCAGAAGCGGTGTAGATGCTTCATTGGCCAGGCCAGGATTGCGTGCATACACGGTTCCCGGGCCCAGGCTGGCCCAGGCTGGGCCAGGCGTGAAACAGCGGTCATGCGTGTAGATTTTAAGTCGGGCCTGCTCTACAGGAGGGATATTCAAAAATAGTAAGAAAAATAGTCTGGGGACGATTTGTTTGACTGATTCTGGCAAGTTTTGAATATTTCTTGACCATGTTTTATCTGTCGTCCATAATCCGCCTGCAGGAGGACACGCCCGACCTAAGTGTAGATCCCGTCGCCCCCATCTCGGTCGGCCTCGGCCTCGGCCGTCTTCGCCCTCGGCTCCCTCCGCTCCCCCCGCTGGCGGCGTGCCGCCGTGGGCGGCCGCGCCGCCGCTGCTGCACCCACGCGGTGGCGGCCCTGGCCCCCTCCTCCTCCTCTTCCTCCTCCTCCTCCTCCTCCTCCTCCTCCTCCTCCTCCTCCTCCTCCTCCCCCCCTCCTCCTCCTCCTCTTCCTCCTCCTCCTCCTCCTCCTCCTCTTCCTCCTCCTCCTCCTCCTCCGCCTCCGCCTCCGCCTCCTCCTCCGCCTCCTCCTCCGCCTCCTCCTCCGCCTGCGCCTCCGCCTCCTCCTCCGCCTCCTCCTCCTCCTCCTCCTCCAGGCCGGCATGCTCACGTGGGGCAGCAACGCGCCGCAGGCTCCGAGGGCCCGCGGGCCCCGCCGCCCCGCCGCCCTCCGCCGCCCGCGGCCCCGCCGCCCGAGAGGCGCCGGGAGCCCTATGTTGCTCCCATCGTACTTGAGGACCAAATTCCAGAAATATTTTCAAGCACCCAGAAAGAGTGTCGGGCGAGTGTCTCCCAGGACCCGACACGTGAAAACCCTCGAGTTTCGGTTTTTTTTCTGGTGCTCGAACTTCTTTCTGGTGATCATGGCTAAAGCAGGCTGGGGCATTATGATCCCACGGGCGGATTCTGGACGAGCAATAAGAAGCAGTCCGGAAAGGTTCACATCTGACCCAAACCAGCCACGAGAAGTCGTCCCTAGGCTACTGCTTCTCCTGCGATGTTTGAAGACTCCTCCCGTAGCGGGACAGGCCTCACTGGAGCCTCGGCGGCGGCGCGGGGCGAGCGGGGCGCGCCGCGGCGACGGCGACGGCCGCGGCGGGGGCGAGGGTCGAGACGTTTGGGCGCCTCGCGGGCCCTCCGAGGACGGAGGAGCGGGGGCCGAGGATCGAGGCCGACGGCGAGGATTGGGGGGCGGCCTCCGAGAGGAAGTCGGGCATGTCCCTCTACAGGGGGGAAATCCAAAAATCATCAAAATTATCCTGGCAAAGCAACCTAACAGCGATGTGTATAAGCATATTTGGAAGCATTCCCCTTAAGATTCAGGTGAGAATCCAGTTGTAGAATGCTGCTGTTCTAGCAGTCGCAGTCGCATTCGCAATGACAGTCGCAGTGGCAACGGCCTTAGGATCCAATGGAATCCTTAGGAAACCTGATTCCTAGGGATTCCTAAGGATGCCTAGGGAATTCTAAGGATTCCGAAGGATTCGCCTGCCTCGGCCTCAGCCTCAGCCTGCCTCAGCCTCAGCCTCAGCCTGCCTCTGCCTCAGCCTGCCTCTGCCTCAGCCTGCCTCAGCATCAGCCTCAGCCTCAGCCTCAGCCTGCCTCGGCTTGCCTCGGCCTCAGCCTCAGCCTGCCTCGGCCTCAGCCTCAGCCTCAGCCTGCCTCAGCCTCAGCCTCAGCCTGCCTCAGCCTCAGCCTGCATCAGCCTCAGCCTCAGCCTGCCTCAGCCTGCCTCGGCCTCAACCTCAGCCACAGCCTCAGCCTCAGCCTCAGCCTGCCTCAGCTTCAGCCTCAGCCTCAGCCTGCCTCGGCTTGCCTCAGCCTCAGCCTCAGCCTGCCTCGGCCTCAGCTTCAGCCTCAGCCTGCCTCAGCGTCAGCCTCTCAGCCTCAGCCTGCATTAGCCTCAGCCTCAGCCTGCCTCAGCCTCAGTCTCAGCCTGCCTGAGCCTCAGCCTGCCTCAGCCTCAGCCTCAGCCTGCCTCGGCCTCAGCCTGCGTCAGCCTCAGCCTCAGCCTGCCTCAGCCTCAGCCTGCCTCAGCCTCAGCCTCAGCCTGCCTCGGCTTGCCTCGGCCTCAGCCTCAGCCTGCCTCCGCCTCAGCCTGCCTCGGCCTCAGCCTGGCTCAGCTCGGGCATTCAAAATATGGCACAGGACTGGTGTTCTGGGAACACGAAAAACACGAAGTATCTTAATTTCAGTTGGCTCCGGGCATTCAAAATGTGGCCTGGGAGTGGTGTTCTGGGAAAACGAAGAACACGAAGTGGCTTACAGTTGGCTCCGGGCATTCAAAATGTGGCCTGGGAGTGGTGTTCTGGGAAAACGAAGAACACGAAGTGGCCTACAGTTGGCTCCAGGCATTCAAAATGTGGCCTGGGAATGGTGTTCTGGGAAGACGAAGAACACGAAGTGGCCTACAGTTGGCTCCGGGCATTCAAAATGTAGCCTGGGAGTGGTGTTCTGGGAAGACGAAGAACACGAAGTGGCCTACAGTTGGCTCCGGGCATTCAACATGTGGCCTGGGAATGGTGTTCTGGGAACACGAAGAGCACGAAGTGGCTTAGAGCTGGCTCCCGGCATTCAAAATGTGGTCTGGGAATGGTGTTCTGGGAATGGATTCTTAAGAATTCCTAAGAATTCCTAAGGATTCCTGGGGCTGCCGGATCTACCGGATCCTCTGTCCGGTTCCCGCCCAGACCCCCTTGGGGCGTCAAGATGTTCTCTTTTGAGCCCACTAGAAACCTATCAGCAAGAGCTGTTAGGTAAAAATAGTCTGGGGGCGATGTTTTAGTGTTTTTGTTTTGCAGTGTTTGGCATTTGTTGAGTATGTTTCATCTTTCGTCCAAGATCCGCCTGTAGGGAGACATGCAGTCTCCCGCCGCTCTCTGAGGAGTCCCGCCCATGCTGCCTTCCCCCCCATGCCGCCTCTGCCTCTCTTCTGGGGGGCCCAGGACCTCGCGCGCGCACCTCGCCACGCTTGAGGGCAAGTGAGGATTCCAGTCGACCCAGATCGAGGCTCACGCCCAGCTTTCGGGGCTCAAGAGACGGGGGTCAATGCAAACGGGGGTCAGTCAGAGTACCAAATCGTGCAGGATCTTGAAGGGCCCGGGGTGCAGTGACCCGGGTTTGGGTGCAGGATCTTGCAGGATCTTGCGCGGTTTGATTGACACTGCTCTGGATTGACCTGGGTCAGTAGATTCCCGAAGCGTGCGACATGGCCCCAGCACCACGTGAGGCCTAAGAAGAGGGAGGGGATGCCCCATCATCCCAGCCCGTCCTGGCTGCTTGGCAAGCAGCTAAGAAAAGTCGGGAGGTTAGGGTGGGAGGACGAAAGCAAGGAGGTAGAGGAGGCCCTGGAGCCTTTCACCAGGACCAGCGTTGCGCCCCGAACGGTTGTTTGGCGGCCTTGGGGCCTGGGGAGAGGGCCCAAGGAGCCCGAACTCGGGACCCCGATGTCTTTCCTTCAGATCCGGGCGTCGCATAAAACATCGCGATGGATGGTTCAACGCTTTCGGTCTCCATTCGGGCTGTCTCCCAGCCCGAGGACTGTCAAGCAACAGGTCATGCAAAAGAGGCCCCATTTTAAGAGGCGAAGACCCCATGGGAGGCCCACGCCGCAAAGACATATGCGCCATCCGACGGAAGGGCGCATGGCAACCGCCCCACCGACACCGCGCCTTACAGTCGGGGCGCTGCAAAAAAAAAATGTTCGTTTGGTAAGGGCTCAGTGTTCCATAGCTGTTTTACAGTTTGCCTTGGTTGTTCCTTAGGTTTTCGATGGGAAATCAAAGTTTAACTTATGGAAGAAAGAGGCCTCGTTCCTTCTTCGGGGTTCCTGAGGTCAACGCCCCGACTGTAACCGCCCCACCGACACCCCGCCCTACCTTGGCACGAAGCAAGCGGGTCCCGAGAGAAGCGGGTCTTGGAACTCGGGGCCTCCTCCCGCCAGTTCTCCCCCCCAGGGCCCCAGGGAGGCCCCACGAGCCCGCAGACGGTGAAAAGTCCAGGGCTTGCTTCCGCCAGGATTCGCTTCCTCCACGGCGATCCCTTCTCCGCTTGGCGCCGCTCGGACATGTGCAGTTTTCCTCGGCGAGGGCCATCAAGGAGCATCCAAGCTCACGGAGCCACAGAAGCACAGAAACAGCAAAGAACAAGAAAAAGACACACGAAAACGACAAGCACACACAGAGAATGGGCGTCCGAGCGATGGCGATTCCGACGACGACGACGACGACGACGACGACGACGACGACGATGACGACGACGACGACGACGACGACGACGCCCCCCCCGGGCGCGCGCAGGCCGGCTGACCCCGCGAGGGCCTCCGCCCGCTCGCGGCGTCGGGGCGCCGGCCCGGCCCCTCCCCGGGCGCCCGTGCGGGCGGCGCGGGAGGCGGCGAGGTCGGGGCCCGGGGTGGGCGCGGGCTGTGCTCGCCGCCCGGGCCCTTGGAGGGAGGGGGGCGGAGGGAGGACACTAGAGAATGATCGGAGGCCTAGAGGTTGACACCAACACCAGTATTCAGAGCCCCGAATCATCAGGGGTAACTCGGGTCAGGGCTAACTCGGGTTCGTTTTTCGGGAATCCGAACCCGACTTACCCCGGACCCGAGTTACCCCGGATAATTCGGGCGTCCAGAGCCCTGAATCATCAGGGGTAACTCGGGTCAGGGGTAACTCGGGTTCTTTTTTCGGGAATCCAAACCCGAGTTACCCCAGACCCGAGTTACCCCGGATAACTCGGGCGCCCAAAGTATCGGCGGTATGCCTCAACCAAGGGAAAATGATCCCAATCGCGGTCATGGTGGTAATATTCTGGCTTCCAAGGGGACCGAACTATTGCCACCAATGCCGAAATCTAGGATCATCTCACCCCTGTGGAGGCGGCCCCCTATGTTGGTGTGGGTGCCCATTTCCAGGACTCCAGAATGAGTCGAGGCCTCCCAGATGGGGTCGGAGCAGATGGGGTCGGAGGATAGCGCCCGCTCGCGGCGTCGGGGCGCCGGCCCGGCCCCCCTCTGGGCCCACGCGGGCGGCGCGGGAGGCGGCAAGGCGGGCCCGAGGGGGCGCGGGCTGTGCCTGCCGCCTTTGGCCTGGGAGGGAGAAAGGGCGGAGGGAGGACAAGGAGAAGCGCGTTCCTTTCACAGGCGTCGCCCCTTAGCGGGCGGGCGCCAAGCTGTAGCCTGTATAGCGTTCTCCGGCATCGCAGGCGCCTCGCGGCAGCACGTCCCAGCAGATGTGGAGGGCTCCAGGCGGAGCTTCTCGCCTTCGAGGGATCGGAGAGTTGAAAGTCTCTTCGTCGGTGGAAGGCACGCCGAAGCCACGACGAGGAGGAGGAGGAGGAGGAGGGTCGAGGATCGAGGCTCGAGGAGAAGGGTCGAGGATCGAGGAGGAGAGTTCAGTGTAAACAACCTCGGGGCGGTGTGGTTTGGGGCTGTGCTGCTGCTGCGGCTGCTGCTTCTCCTGCCGTTGTTGCTGGAGTCCCCGAGAGTCTGGGGGGCGCTTCTGGCCTATCGGGGCCGGCTGGGTCTTGGGAGAGGGGTTTTTGGGCTTTAGTCGGGCATGTCCCCTTGCAGGAGGAATATCCCAACATGGTAGAAAATATTCTGGGGACGATGTTTCGATTATGTTTTGGTTTGTCTTGCGCATTCTGACTATTTTCAAATTTTCGCGCAACATCCGCCTGTAGGGGGACATGCCCGACTTAATCTTGGGCCTCTTGGACCAGATGGAGGCGCTTCGACGGCCCCCTCCCCAAAGCCTAGGCTATCTGGGAGCTCTTCCAAGGCCATCTTCCGCCGTCGCGGGGCCTCTTGGAGCTCTCCTCCTCCTCCTCCTCCTCCTCCTCCTCCTCCTCCTCCTCCTCCTCCTCTTCCTCCTCCTCCTCCTCCTCCTCCTCCCCAGAGCCGTGTGTTGGATGGCTGCGGGGTCCTTCGGGGATCTCTGGAGCGACTCCCTTGCCCGGTCGGGGTCGCCGTCTCGGAAGGCCCAGCTGTCGCCCGGGAGCCTGCGGGGGGCGACCTGTGGCCCTGGCGGGCAGCGGCGATGCCATACTCTTGGCATCGCTCGGACGTGTGCATTTTTTTTCTCGGCGAGGACCTTCGAGGAGCACCCTCGACCATCTGGCGAAAAAAACACGCACGAAACCAAAAAAAACACAGGGAATGGACGTCCGAGCGATGGCCAGTACTTCTGGGGCTTACCGTTCATGCAGCAGTCTCGTGCTGCTTCGACGCGGCGCCGGTCTCGGCGTTCGGGGCCGAATGGTCTCCCGGGGGCTTCGGGCCCAGGGACGGCAAAAGACAAGGCAAGGCGCGAGATCCATAATTACGAAGGTCCAGGCCTCCGAGATGTTGTCCGAGTAGATGGGGTCGGAGGATCGCGCCGCATCGCTGGTGCATCGCCGATGCGGTTCGACGTGGAGCTCGATTTTCTCCACGCCAACGGTGCCGATGCATCGCCGACGTCGCTGATGCATCGGTGATGCATCGACGATGCGCTGCGATTCTCCGACACCCATCTGCTCCGACCCCATCAGGGAGGCCTCCAGAAAGAAGGCGTGGACAGCCTCTGGGGAGCAAGAGCGGGGATCGGTCAAGATTGAGCGGTGATAGAAACCTGTGTTCCCGTCATCGAGGCAGGAGCTTGTTGCGCGCACTCGTCCCCAAGACTTGGGATCTAGGCTTCCTAGACGGGGTCGGAGGATCGGTCCGCATCGCCGATGCTTCGGCGATGTAGCTCGATGTGGAGCCCAATTTTCTCCACTCCGATGGCGCCGATACCTCGCCGAAGGATGCATCGCCGATGCATCGGCGATGTATCGCCGATGTGGCGCGATCCTCCGACCCCATCTACTCGGACCCAATCTAGGAGGCCTCTACTGGAGGACTCCTGAGGGGTCCCTGGATTGACGATTTCGTGAAGTATGTTGGGCCGTTGGGTTGGGGTCATCGGGCCATTTGGGGTTGGCGCGGTGTTTTCACAGACAGTTTCGGGTCATCTTGGGGCCCATATCGGGCCGCCGTGGCAAGGTCCAGAGGTAATCGTGGATCAGTTCTCTGTAAGGCGGAGCTCTCCTCTGACCGGTACTCGGCAGTCCTTGTGGTGTATGCACGTCCTCATACGGAATATGGCATGGTGGCCCGGCGTTCAGTTCCAGGGGTAGAGACCTAGGGATTCGGAGAAAAACATGAGCGAACGGTGGCCTCGATTCAGTGATGGGGGCAAGGGCATACCAGAGCTTCGCAAGTTGGACAATTCAGACACACGCAAGCCGCGGCAAAGCGTGGAGGCGGATAGTTGCCGTTGGCAGTATTGTGGACGGCATCATTGGTGGACGTTCTTGGTGGTCGTGCCAGGGGGCGGAGCTCCTTGCTTCCCTCTGAGCAGAGCGGCACCATCTTCAAGAGAATCGGTTGCCTGTTTCACTCGCTGTGAGGACAGCGCGAAGCGCTTCTCTTGCGTGGACGCGCAGGAAAATCAAAAGACCCCCGTTGCGTGCCCGTCTTCTCTGCATGTCGCTGGTCCTCGTCCTCCAGGGCTGCTTGTCTGCACGTCGCAACGTCGAAGTCGTACGACTGCTTGGTAGAGATGCCGACCCAGCCGGTACGAGATCCACGGTAACTATTGTGCCTGTGCCATTTGCCCGTGTCAAATGAAGCGCAGGCAGTGATGAAAAGCGTAGGCGCAGATAGATATCGAATACGCCTACGGCGAGTCACCGCAGCCCCCTGCATTTCGGAAACGCCTGTGTCGTGAAATGTAGTGAAATGTCGCGCGAAAGTGCGACCACGCTAGTAGATTGTGTTTCCCAAGCCGCTGTGGAAACTAGGGGCGACGCTGGCGGAGCGCCATCTTGGAGCTGCCTTGGAGCTCTTTGCTGTCCTCGTCGCGGGCTTTCTTGCACTTTCGGATTGTCTCAGGACCCTCTTAGGATGTCTGGCTCTCTGGCGCCGTCGGAGGCCGCCTTTGGGGGCCGCTCTGGGCCGTCTTGGGGCCCTCTTGGGGCTCCTGAAGGCCGCCTTGGGGCTATCTTGAGCCAACTTGGAGTCATCTTGGGCCCCTTAAGGGGCCATCTTGGAGAGTCTTGGCACCTGGTTTGCCCGTCTAGGGCGCATGAGGCCAAAAGGCAAGAGGCGTTGACGGTGTGTGTGTATGTTTGGGACCGCCGCTGTTGACTGGTGGGTTCTCGTCGCCGCGATTGGAGCTGGCTCGTTGGGGTCTGGGCCTCGGGAGTCGGGGGTGCCCCGTGTGTTGGCGCCGCTGGTCGGTGGTGTTGTCCTTCCCGTCCTTCTCCTCGCTGTGCGTAGGCTACATTTTTCTGTGCGATGTTCTATATCGATCGATAGAGATAAGGAGAAGTAGAAGGAGGAGGAAGATGAAGAAGAGGAGGCCCCCTTGGGGCCTCCCGTGGACTTCCTAAAAGCGTGTTGGCTGCAAGTGAAGGGCCTCTCGAGGGCCCTTTGAGGGCTTGGGGGCCTTTGGGAGACTTCTTGGCCTTCGGAGGCCGTCTCGGGCCCCTCTCTGGGCAGTCGTGAGTTCCTCCTTGAGCGCTTCAGGGCTGCGTTGGAGGAAGATGGGGCCGTCTTGGGGCCGAGTTGCCGCGATCTTTGGAGCCTGTGGGGCCGTCTTGGAGCGTCGGGAGCTCGCTCGAAAAGGCGAGCGAAAACCAAGGAAATCAATGGTCTGGGCCTCCTGGAGGTATGTCTGGAGCCCTCTTGGGGCGTCTTCGGGGCTTCCTGGGCCGTCTGGAGGACATCTTGGGCAGTCTTGGGGCCGTCTTGGCCGTCTTGGATGCGTCTGGGAGCCATCTTGGGGGCCTATTGGGCCGTAGATGTTTTTCGCCCGGGTTGGTTTTCGCCCTGTTCGTTTCGCCCGGTTCGTCTCGCCCGGGTTTGTTTTCGCACGGTTGGTTTTCGCCTGGGTTGGTTTTCGCCCGGGTTGGTTTTCGCCCGGGTTGGTTTTCGCCCAAGTTGGCTTTCGCCCGGTTGGCTTTCGCCCGAGTTGGTTTTCGCACGGGTTGGTTTTCGCCAAGGTTGGTTTTCGCCCAGGTTGGTTTTCGTCCGGTTTGGTGTTTCGCTTGGGTTGGTTCTCGATTGGGTTCGTTTTCGCCCTCCTCTTCCTCTCATCCTCCCGCTCCTGTCCTTTTATGTTGGTGTTGCTCCTTTTCCTTCTCTCCTCCTCTGGCACCTCTTGCCCGCGGCCGGTTGGCTGGAGCTCCGCTGCGTTTCCCCCCCGCCTTCTTCCCAGACGGCCTGACCTACACATCCACACCGCCCTTGCTCAGGCCCCCCCGAGGCCCAAGGTCGGTCAGTGCTGCGTGCCCCCCTGGCAAAGCCAGACGCGTGCTCATCCGAGCGCGCCCCACACTTCAGTGCCCCGCCCGCCCGACCCGACCCGCCCGTCAGGGTCTGCCTGGCCCGACCCGTCCCGCCCGCCAGGGTCCGCCTGCCCGACCCGACCCGCCCGTTAGAAGTCACGCGTGCTCGCTCCGGCGTGCCTCACACTTTAGTGTCCCGTCCGCCCGACCCGACCCGCCCATTAGGATCCGCCCGACGCGACCCGACCCGTTCCGGCTGTTAGGGTCCGCTCTGCCGACCCGACCCGCCCGTTACAATTTACGTGTGTTCGTTCTGGCGCGCCCCACATTTCAATGTTCCGCCTGCCCGACCCGACCCGCCCGTTAAGGTCCGCCCGGCGCGACCCGACCCGTCCCGCCCGTTAGGGGCCGCCTGCCCGACCCGACCCGCCCGTTAGGGTTCACGCGCGCATGACCCACACTTTATTGTCCCGCCCGACCGACCCGACCCGCCCGTCAGGGTCCGCCCGACCTGACCCGATCCGTCCCGCCCGTGGGGTCTGCCGACCCGACCCATCCGTCAGGGTTCACGCGTGTTTACTCGAGCGCGCCTCACATTTTTGTGCCCCGCCCGCCCGACCCGACCCGCCCATTGGAGCCCGCGCCCATCCCCGGCGAAAGCCAACCCCGGCAAAAGCCAACCCCGGCGAAAGCCAACCCCGGCGAAGGCCAAACCCAGCGAAAGCCAACCCCGGCGAAAGCCAATCCCAGCGAAAGCTAGCCCGGCGAAACGAAACCCGCAAAACGAAGCCCAGCGAAAGCCAACCCCGGCGAAAAGCATCCGTGCCCCTATTAGGGCCAATTGTTCCGTCTTGGAGGCCATCCCTGGGGGGACCAATGGAAGGTGTTGCTGCTCCTCCTCCTCCTCCTCCTCCTCCTCCTCCTTTTTCTCCTCCCCCTCCTCCTCCCCCTCTCCCTTTCCGTAGCTATTTTGGCTCAAGCCGTTCTGGCTCAGATTGATTATGAGTTTGATCGTGCGAACTTCAGAACGGCGCTGCACGACCGAGCCTTCTGGCTCCGACTTTCCAGCCTACCGTGTGCAGGTGGCACCTGCATTTTTCAGCCTACTGTACGCAGGTGGCGCCTGCGATCCTTTCCCACCACAGCCACGCTTTCTTTCATCGCTCAGAGCGGGCGATGTCGCAATGGTGGCGAGATTCAGAACGTGCGCGTGGAGACGGCCATGGACGATGGGGAGTCAAACGAGACGAACCGATACGACCCTGGCGCGCTCGACGTGTTGCATCCAGACAGCCTAATGAGAAGAAGTGGTATTGCGCTCTCGGTGGGTGCAAGAAGAGTATTCAGAGCTGGGATTGTTGCAAACATTGCAGGCAAGACAGAACAGAGGCGCCGACTACTGATGCGGAGAAGGTTCTCGATCCAGGGTCTCGTCGTCGGCGTGGTGGATATAGGCCGTTGTCTATTGCTGATAAGTCACAGTTGCATCCAGACCTGGAGGACAGCGACAAGCCCGCCATCACGCAGAAGGATCTGGAACTCATCGAGCTCTCCAAGAAGGCGGGAGACACCAGTGCACCGGCCAAATTTCAGAAGCACTTTTAGACGCTTCGCGTATCCCCACCAGCCCGTCCAGAAACGACGCCCAGGCGAGTAGAGGGTCGTCCTGAGGGGTTTTTCGGCATCTTGGGTGCCTCGGGGGGGCCTCTGTGGGCAGTTCGGGATCCTCTTTGGGGCCTCCTGGGGGCCTCTCGGGGCCTCTTGGGGCCATCTTGGGGCCTTTGGGGGCCTCCTGGGCGCTTCTTGGGGCCATCTTTGCCCCCTCAGGAGGCCAAAATCGGGCCAAAATCTCAGTAAAATCAATGATTTTGGCTTCCTCGCCGAGGCCGTTTTGGACGCTCTGACCGCTCGCGGCCCCCCCCGTCCAGGTCCACAGGGAGGGGGGAGGGGGAGGGGTAAACCCCTCCCCGAAGGGAAAGAGGGAGGGGTGGAAGAGGAAACGCCTTAAGCCACCGACGCCCAGAGGGCTGGTGGGATTGCCTCGATCAGGGAAGTGGCCAGCACACAGAGGAAGCCAGTATGAGACATTCTGGGATTTCTTGAGCCATCTTGGAGGTCATTTTGGGCTCTCCGAGGCGCTCTTGGAGTCATCTTAATCAGTGCCCCCCCAAGAGGCCAACATGTGGCCCCAAGAGTACAAACAACGGTTTGACATTATCGCCGAGGCCTCTGGGAGCACCTTGGGTGCCTCTGGGGGGTCTCTTGGGGCCTCTTGGGGGTCTCTTGGGGGCCTCCTGGGGGGCCTCTTGGGGGGCCTCTTGGGGCCATCTTGGGGCCATCCTGTGGCCTCTTGGGGCATCCTGGGGGCCTCTTGCGGCCATCGTGGAGGAAATCGATCAAAGAAGAGGGGAGCGTTAATTAGCGCTGCCCCCTCAGAAGGCCAAAATGGGGCCCAAACCATAGTAAAATCAATGATTTTGGCTTCCTCGCCGAGGCCGTTTTGGACGCTCTGACCGCTCCCCGCCCCTCCTGTCCAGGTCAGTGGGGAGGGGGTAGGGGGAGGGGTAAACCCCTCCCCGAAGGGGAAGAGGGAGGGGTGGAAGAGGAAACGCCCTAAACCACCGACGCCCAGAGGGCTGGTGGGATTACAAGAGCCGCGCAAAGGCCAAGTCGAGCCCTCCCTCCAGACCAGAATGTCAAACTGCCACTAGCGAGCCACGCAGTTGGAGACCACAGTGGAGGCAGAATCATCCAAACTCGACATGCATGCAAGCTCGTACCGTACGCAGCAGGCAGCAGTCCAGGAGATCTCGGACCGCTTGGCCACTGCGGACCGTGAATACCAGATGTTGGTCACGCAGTTGGCGCGGACGGGAGGCCCGCCAGCGACACAACCAGAGAAGATCAACATCAAGGATGTGGTTGATGGCTCGAAGGACCTCGCCTCCCTCATTGATGTGGATTCGCATTTTCACGCTGATGATGATGAGTTCGCTACGTCTGCTGAGGATCGCGAGGGCATCGAGAAAATCAAAAAGGCGCTGCAGAAACAGATCCAGCAGATTGCCAAGGGTTTATTCGAAGGAGCCGTCAAGCAGATTCAGAACATCAAGGACGAGCACGCCAAGCATGTACAGAGATTGGACAAGAAAAGGAAAGG